CTGAACAATGTAACACCCACTTTTTTACTATTTATGTTATGAGTCCCATGTAATAGGGGGTGAGGCTATTGCCATATACCGGGCACATTTCCAGACTCCGTGCCGCTACTGAGATTGTCTTCAAAATTCAATAGTTCAATCTCTACTATTATAGTGCGGGATAGAAAGGTATCGTTTTAAACTGTCAAACACCAAGCGGTGACCGGTGACCGCAACCTATTGTTCTATAATTGTGTCTATAATGACGGTACTCGACGAGTTAAAGGTATAGTTTTCATTAACAAAGCAGATTTTTTAATACGCATAAATTAATGCAGATTAAAACAGCAGTAAAGAAGTAAGCTGCACCATTACCGAGTCTTCTACAGAATTAAACTGCATAAATAAGGAAAAAAATGTAAAAGAATTTTCCACCTTCGTGGAGCGTTCAACACTAAAGTCCACTTAAAAGTTCACTTGACGTTCAAACAGAGCACGACTAGTAGCTATGTAGTTACAAGTGAGTAGACTAGTAACTACTGGTAGGCGAGTAGTGGAGAGTTCTACGTATGTACGTAAGCTAGTAGCTGTATGTAGCTAGTAGGTACTCGTCCTGAGATTTCACGTAGAAGTACTTAAGAGCGAGGTGGAAAGTGTATGCGAAAGTTTGCTTCTTTATGTCTCGCTTGAATGTTACTCAACTTTGAATACTGGTGCATAAATAGTGTTTTTGTATGATTTTTTATGGTATACTAGCGACCCGCCCCGGCTTCACACGGGTGCAATATGCATGTATTATCTATATAAACTTATCTTAAGAATCACTCTATCTATTAAAAAAAACCGCATCAAAATCCGTTGCGTAGTTTTAAGATCTCAGCATACATAGGGACAGACAGACGGAGGATAGACTTTGTTATATACTATGTAGTGATTGCGGTAAACGAGTAGACGAAGCACATGATGGTAAATATTCGGCGCCCCCAATAGACACCCGCAAAACCTAGGACAAGGTTACAAATTATAAGTTTGAGAGATCGAAAATTTTGAGATTGATATAGATAAAGGTTTTTTTTATGTTGCTAATTTGGGTAACAGTTACCGGTGACATATAGGGTACAGCCATATTTTACCATTTAAGCATGCAAAAGACAAATAACCAAAAAAACATAAATAAAAAAGAATATAAATTTTTAACCCAAATACTAACTTTAAAAAGAATATTCTCATTTAAATACTCATTCAAAGCGTAATATGCTTTATCCAATAAAAAGCTTCAAAGTCTTTTTTTAAAGAAAGATAGCGGAAGCTCATTCCAACCGTTTTTTTTTTTTGAGGGGGGAAAATCATCCACTGACTTCTCCCGCCTTGCGTTGGCGAGAGGGGGATTCTGACTCTTATTGATCAAAAATCACCCCACGCCCCGACAACCCGTTAGGCCTTCCGCGGCTCCGTATCGGGCATCAGCCTTACTGGGCCTCATCTGTGATGATCTGATGGTTCTTTGAGGCGCGCGCGGAACGTGACGCGTCGTACGCACGGTTTCCTTCCAACCCTTAGGTATCGTATTATAAATAACTGGAGCCATGCATGACTCTTGATTGAGTTTCCGTAAACCTCATTTACGCGGCGAAACACAGCACAAGCGGCAATTCACGATGGTTTTGGTATTTATGTCGTGGTATTACGAATGAGTATGGCGTCATGTTATAAAAACAACTAACTTTATATATATACTAGCAGCCCGTCCCGGCTTCGCACGGGGTAGACAAAATTATTTTTGGAAATTTGGATTGTTGTAGTGACATAACTACAATAGTTGGACATATGCTACCGCGAAGTTTTTTGTAGACATTACGATGTTCTTCAATATTGTTGTAAATTAGTTTGTTCTATCGCTAATAGTTTCGGCAGCGCATTCGACGAAAGACATTTTAAGACTCATTTGTCTACACCTTCGGTTACATTGTTGAAATTTTACCAAGGATCACTATTTTTTCCAAATTAAATGTAGCCTATGTCAAATTGGAAGAATGTAGCATTCTATTGGTGAAAGAATTTTTTAAATCGGCCCAGTACTTTATCTTTCCTCTTTATTATATTAGTATAGATATGTATATATATCCCATTTATACTTTCACAAACATTTTATACGATGTTAAGAAATGAATGCAATATTTACAAGCCTTCTACAAATCAACACAGAATTACACTTCGTAATTAAGATTTAAATAAACAAATACAATATTCACAGTAAATCATTAATCATGTATATAGTTCCTAGAACAACCACACTTACCGCAAATTACCTACTAACAAATTCAGCGAATTGAAATATTTATTGATGCTTTGCTTATATTGATACTAATTTATGAATTCATTCGTCTGTGTGATCATTGGAAACGAGGATTTTCCTTTTATTGCTGATGATTATAAACATTATACGTAGCTAGTTCTGAATCAATATAGATTTTGATAATTAATACAACTTAAATTCACTCTTTCTTTTCACTCTGTCAAATGAGGATTTCGGGTTAGATTGTTTATTATTGTACGATTTCCGAAGCGGGCAAATAATTTAAGGCGTATTTTCGAAATTGCTCTTTCTTTTATACCTTATATTATTTCCGTCTACATGTTTTATAGTATAAAAAATATATTTAATAATTTTATAGTGTATAATTTTCCTTTGTCTTATGGCATAACAAATAATATAACTGTGAGGCAGAGCCATGCTTCGGCACGAATGTGCCGGCTCAACCGGAGTGATACCACGGCCTCACAGAAAACCGACGTGAAGCAACACTTGCGTTGTACTTCGTCGTGTGAGTGAGGTTACCAAAGGCCCAATTACCAAGGGGAGCGGTCCCCTTCCTCAATCTCCCCAAACGCTGAATCTCCAACAATCCCCAAACTCCTAATCCCGAAAAGGCCAGTAACGCACTTGTAATGCCTATGGTGTTTCAGGTGTCCATGGTAATGTCGATTGCTTACTATCAGGTAATCCGTCTGCTCGTTTTATTAAAAACATCACACCTTTTATACCCCTAAAGGGTATACAAACCCACAAAGGTATATAATATAGGCACTGAAATGATGCAACATATTATTGTATCTACTGCATACTTCCAGTGTCAATCAATAATAGTAACGAAATTCGACTAAGAATTTTTTAAAATATTGAAAACATTCGATATTTGACCTTACTCGACCTGGGATTTAGACCCAAGATTTTTGCTCAACAGTCAATTTGAACTCTTGGATCAAAATTATTAGTACTTACTTACTTGATATTCGCACTACGGTCCGACCACTCGTTTAAAGATCAGAGCCACGAATTATGTATTACTGAATAAAAAATAATCCGAATATAAAATGAAGTAGTTAATTAATTTTATTCAGTATTCCATTTACCACCTTACAATATACATTTCCGTAATGTTAAATTATTCATTTCGGATCCCGAGTCATAAATATTTATTACCGAAATTTTTCATTAATTATTTATTCGTTTTCGCAATTTTTTCGATGTTATAATGTAGTTATTTAATTTTATCGAAATGCTGTTTGCAAATGGTTGACTTCATTCATGATGCTGATAATAAACTTAATAAGATATCTTGTTTGTTGGTCCGTTTATATGTTTCATCGATGAAATTATTTTGTTTCTTAAATATGGGTGTCTTTAGTATTTTTTATGAGATAGGATGGCTCAACATGAGCACACTGATCGTTTGATGGCAACTGATCATTGCCGCTTAGCCAAACAAAGTTGCAAGTCATTGTCTTTTCAAAACCCTCTGTATTCTTTAACATGAACCTCAGAATTTTAAAAATACTCATTCTAAAATTGAAACCACACAAATCTTTTGTAGCTTGCTAAATTGCAAATTTCAATACTAATTAGAATCAAATTCGAAATATCGACTTCAAGGATCATGCTAAAGGCTAAACAAAGACTAGCCAAGCCTAGCCAAGTAATCTTTGAAAAAGTTTGCATAAAATAGTCTCTATTGTTTGGGGTAACAAATAGGGTCCCAAAAATAGTACATCAATAGTATTAAAAAGAGTTTGCGTGTTACACAACAAACTATACAAACCAGCCATAAACTGACCCTTGAATGTGTGTACAGATCATAGAAAGCGAGACCACGATAAACTGGTTTGTGTAACTCGATTTGAAGCCATGTGTAGGCACAATACAAAAGCCTACATTCTAGGCATGATTTACTGAAACAGTTTCGCCTGAAGGCTATAAATCTTTTTATCTTACTTTGTTTTCACAGGAATTTCATTGATATTGTTGTTAAGTCCTATGTAATTTGTAACTACTGAAGTTTTTTCATGAAACTTATATTGAAAGGAACACACAAAGGCACTTCTTTGTAAATGGATAACTAAACTAATGTGATAGATAAATTATATTTCTATATTATTATGTTTGGTTTTCAAAAATAATTGTTGTTGGTATGCTACACTTTTTCTCGATAAGTGTTTTTTGACAATTTCACTAAAACTTTCAAGTGTTATTTGCTTGTATTCTTTTGAGAAAAATACGATGTTTTTCTTTGTTTGTTAAATATTTATTGTACTTAAGATATTTTTTTTGAACATTGCCCCACACTAGGATTTTCTCCTGTGTCGTAGGTGCGTTTACAAACATACAAGTTCACATACACATGACACCCAGACCCGGAACAACAATCTGTGGATCACACAAAGAGTTGTTCCGTGCGGGAATTGAACCCGCGACACGTTGCGCGGCAGGCAGCTGCCCAGCCACAGCGCCAACCGTGCAGTCATACTTATTACCATCACATTATCATGTTGTAATCTGAATTTGATCGGGTAAGTTGAACAAGACATACGTCTGAAAAATCATCAAAAACATAACTAACCGATGTCACTTAGTTTAACTTAACAAAATCTTGTCAAGTAATTCACATATTTTACCTATAAACTAACCTAACTTTAAATTCTTCGTTCAAAATTACTAACAACATTTTAAAAATTAAACTCACCAGAAATCCACGTTCCATTCCACCGTACAGGCGTCAGTTCCTCAGTCAACAGGTCCTGGATCCTCAACCTTCTACCCTTGACCCTGGGCCCTTCATCAGGAGGAGTGAGGAGGACCACGGAGGTCACAATGAGGGCCAGCACCGCGACGATAACGAGGAGTGCTATGAGGATCCCCCTCCAGTTGCGTTGATTCGGACCGCCGACAACCAACTTCTGAAAACAATTGGGACATGTTCAGATTATTCTGGAACTTGTTGTTAGTTTTATGGTGTGACAAATGTTATGTGGTATTAGGAATTAGGAAGTATCAATAAGAGTCGATTTGTACATAATCTACTCTTTACAGTATCTTCTGTATCAGGTACAAATTAATTACCTCTGTTTTTAGTTATTTGTATTTATAATATTAGTTTCAATTTAGTCTAATCATAGAAATATATTTATTATAAAGTTGTAAATATTTAATCTTATTATAATTTTAGTATTTACTAGCTTCTGCCCGCGACTTCGTACGCGCAATCCCATTTTGCACCCGTTCCCGTTCGTGGTGTTCGGTAAAAAGTAAAAAAAAGTATTCTACCTCTATAAAAAGTATCCTATGTCCGTCTCCTGGTTCTAAGCTACCTCCCTGCCAATTTTCATCTAAATCGATTGAGGCGTTCTTGAGTTATAAATAGTGTAACTAACACGACTTTCTTTTATATATACCTCTATAGATTATGTATATAATTATGTTGTACCTAATTTCAATCAAATAAATATTTTAACTGACAAGTATAAATAAAAAAAAGTATATATGTATATATAATCAAATAAAAAAGTACATTCTGCTGTGTGTATTAACTGACGATCCTCAGAAGTGAGGAAATAACAAAGAAGAATAATCCTATTTATATATGTATGTATATACTCTTGCATTATAACTTTTCTTTTTGTTCATACCAATGGAAAAGTTGCCACTTGAAAGTAGCCACGCTTAAAATTATTATCTGTTTTCTAATTTATTATTTTACTTCTGAAAAGGTATCTTGTTTACAACTTTTTATTTTAAAAAAGGAAGTTGCTAGAACCTAAATTATTTCAATTACAATAAATTTTATTTGCAAAAATAAATAAAAAACTTCAACATTGAAGTAAGAAAGGAAAAGACAAAATAAAACAGAAAAATAAAATACTGTAATAACAAGAAAAGAAAAAAAAAACATAAATATCGGCAATGCAACGTTCAAACAAAGAATTTATAAATGGCGACATGAAAAAAAAAAAGAAAAATGCGGTCGCCATTGCTATTGATAAGCGTCCATACGTCATAGGCATTCATTGATATCGTGAAAAGGGTTCGATATCGTGTGTTGTCCAACATGATGGATTAACAGGGTTCAGGAACGATCAAACGATGAATTACTTGGTGCAGTGGTCGCAAGGGCAGTTACTGAGTTTGACGTATCTTCGGTAAAGTATTTGTTAGGTTTTCTTCATTTTTTTTTTAATGGGACAAGCCCGCCACAACCTCCCAAAACCGCTGCAACTCCTGTAAGCCAGGATCTACAGTAGATACAACCATGAAAACACCGGAACATTGAAGTCCGGCGCGTCCCAGGGACATGAGTAACTGTCTTGGTTCCCGCAACGAAATGAATCAGAAGATATTATAAGAGGAGAAGAAGAAAAAAGAAAGATTTTCTTCAGTATATTTCTTCTATATTTAGAGAACTTGATGACGCCAAAGCTGGGGTAGTAGCTCATAGCGTAAAATTATTACCGTTTTTCTTCCCAAAAGTTGTGGGTCAAATAAAGATCTAAATAAAGGTACCTATATTGATTTTTGTAGAATATGGATATTGTAATTGTTCACAATGGCAGCTTGTCTATTTCTCTGAGTATTTAATAAATAATGTATGATTTAGAAATTAGAAGGCATAATGTTTATGATTAAAAATTACATGGCTCATATAATGTCCTAGCATTCTCATTTCGAAAAACGCGAATATCTATATAAAAAGCAATAAAAATTACCATATTTGTACCATATACACATTCTAAGTAATTAAATAAAATAATAAAACTCTAACAACCCAAGCACATGAGGCGCTATACCGTTTCCCGCCAAAATGTCGGCCATTACAGCGAGTTAGTGTTGTACTCGCAACGATAACGGTTACGTAGGGACGTACTCACTTAGTTTTATACGGTCTGCCCATAGACAATTTGTTTTAACGCTACGTTACTTTTTAAAGGCTATCTCAGTTCTAACGATAGAGTGGAGAATTCACCTGATAAGTAGGTAACGTAAAATAAAATATATAGTCTGTTATGTGTTAGTTAGGTGAGTAAATTGTGGAGTTTCTTTTATTGTGTTAGTTTTATTTAAAGTGAGAGGGAAATCTTTATGAGTACGGAGAGTATCTAGTTGGAATAATTTCATCTTTATGGCTTCGAAATAAATAGAATATCGCCTAAGTTAAGCTTATAATTTAAGTATGGTTTAGATCTGGTACATTTTATATATTACTAGCTTTTACCCGCAGCTTCGCTCGCGTCACAAAAGGATAAAAAGTAGCCTGTGACATAATAATATACCAATACACACAGCGCCATCTATACCAATACTTTTGTTTTCCCTTGGGAATATCAAATTTTTTCCGGGATAAAAAGTACCCTATTATTTAAACTGTCAAACACCAAGCGGTCACCGGTGACCGCAACCTATTGTTCTATAATTGTGTCTATAATGACGGTACTCGACGAGTTAATCCGGACTTCTAACTTTACGTCTGCATAAATTCAAAGCAATCGGTTTAGTAGTTACGGCGTGAAAGCGGAACAAACAAACAAACTCACTTTCCGATTTATAATATTAGTAAGGATAAGGATTGCATATTTATATGGTCATCATTTTGCGAAGATTTTTTCCTTCTTTCCTTCCATAAATACTTTCTTCCAATTTTTGCGCGAACGTACCAGGGCCTCATAACTCAGCGAGAGTTTCCAAAAGTATCTTAGTAGAAAACAAGGGCAACCGCTACTAACAAAAGTCCTCATAGCGTTAAAATACGCCCAGACCAAGATAATACTTTAATCTTTCAATTAAACTTCTTAAATGTTCGTCGGATTAGAAAGCGTAATCTGCGGGATCATTCCAAGAAGATTGAGTGTCTTACAAGTTGATTCTTTATTCCCTATTTTCCTATTTTTCTTTTGCATATGTGAATAAAACTGTGTAAAATTAAGATTTTGATAATTGCATCCTCTGCTTTGCATTTACTACTGACGATTAGTTGATTCTGTTGATACTGTACAATGTAACAGCCACTTTTCACTATTTATGTTATGAGTCCCATGTAATAGGGCCTGAGCCTATTACCTTATACCGAGCATAATTTCAGACTCCGTGCTACTACAAAGATTTTTTTAAAAACCCAGTACTTATTACGTTCGTAGGTGCGCCTTGCCCGGCAGTCGCACCTACGAACACTCGGCCAACGAGGCAGTCACCTAAAAGACAGATGAAACAAAAATCAGCAAAAACCACCTTACTTAAAAATGGTGTATTTTTAATAAAAAAAAAATGAATGTGCGCGGACAAAGATTAGGATAGCTTCTGCGACTGTTTCAGAGCATGGGGTCGCGGAATTGATTAGGTACCGTGTAAGACAAGATTAAAGTTTTGTAGGTTTTTCAATCATTTCTTCGTCCATGACCTCCCCTTGCTACGTCAAACTCATATTGGTGAAGTGTGGCTGTTTACTCCAACTACTTGGCATTAAACATTAATGAAATTTAATTTTCCTTGGCCTTACTGCACCAACTCACTTCCTAAAAGAGCTAAACTATCACTAAACTGTACTTAACCCGTCTATCTTAAGTGTCGACTGCAGTTAGGACTCCTATCTTTTAGAACATCCTACATTACAGCGTCATAACGCTTCGCCATATGTTGGAATATACGTTCTAGAATTTTCTTGTATACTAATGACTCGTTTATGCAATGCTCCATACAAGAAGGAAGATGAAATGAGTTTTTATTCATCATTATTATCACCTCATGTATAAGACATTGGCTTCGTTAAATGATAAATGCAAATTTAATCTTTTTCTGCGGTACGTTTTTTATATATATGTGACGGGCCGACGTTTGACCACTATCTCGCCTGATGGTAAGTCTACGATGGAGCACGTCGTCCCATAAGCAACCTATTCACTCGGGCCTTGAAGATACTCAGGTTACATGCCACTAAAATAAATCGATAAATCAACAAGGTATTGTTGATATAGATTATATAGCAAAGTGTAAATCAGGATCTAGAAGATTAGAACTTAAAAATCTATATAATATACTATAAGGTATATATGCGGTTCAAAAAGAAGAACAACGGCGACATCACTTTTATATGAACAAAACTTAACCCTCAAATATTGACAATGGACAGAAAAGACGTTCTTTATTAACATAGAAGTATTTTACTCCGTCCATTTATTAAAGAATACTTACCTAGCGCGGTTTAAATAATAATCTTAGAAATGATCAAACAAAACCGGTTCGAGAATTCAGAAGATTTCCACCCTTATTAACCTCGGCTCATAACAGAAAAACTTCCTAAAATCCTTCAAAGGCTAAGGCAACAGCGGACTTATATATATATGTATATTAGGGTTCTTCTTTAGCTTACATATTCATAAAATTAGGATTTCGTGTGCCTACCAATAAGCTACTACTAAATAAGTACTTCCAGTAGATACTGTTGCATTTCTTATGACGTTTCTTAATACAAAATTTTATGACGACGTTTCGTCATCGAAAACATACTCTACAAATATAACAATATTGAATGAAAAAGAGAATTTTACACTGGCTACTTTTCAGTTTAGTTCTACATAATTCTGCCAAGAGACGTGGTAGCTGTAGCTTAAGTTTGTGTTGTTGTTCCTATCTTTTTGCAAAAGTATGTGGAAGTAAATAAAAATAACTAATTATTTACAAGAAAACAATCTTTTATTAGCATTCCTAGTCTTTAAACCAACAATATCTTTTAAAAATGTTAAAACGATTGTGACTCAGACCTTATTTATAGACATCGATGTAACTGTTTTCTGTAAAAAATGTACTGCGTAGATACTACTTAATTTGGAAGAAAACTGCCAAAAACCAAAGCAGTATTCACTTACCTTGTAAAATCACTACACGACCAAATATTAGAGGTCCCATCCCTAAA